CCGCAGCGACAGCGAAGGAGAGCTTCATAACGATTCCAGGCACGAGGAGAAAAAAGAAACCCGAAGAGATGCGAGACCTGGTTTTGAAGAAGATGCAACGCTGAGGGGCCGTGTTATATAGCCATGCAAATTCTCTTGTCATTGAGTCGCGAAATGCGTAAATATTGACATATATGTGTCAGGGAAGAGAAAGAGTCGACTCTCACCAACGTTGCTTTAGTGTCTGGAGCAGTCCAAGAGCTTGAGGGCCTCGGGATTTGCGAGAATTGACAGATGAATGTCCGAGCTGGATAGCGTGTTCAAGACCGTGACTGCTGCATCAAAATTACCTCAATTACTCCGATTATGAATCGCGCCACGAGAGCATCAGGCGTGTTAATCAATGAAAAGTCGAGACGAGTTCTCCGAGTTCCTAGGCACCAAGAAATAGAGCTGGGACTTCTGTTCCTCGACACCAACCGTGGAGTACTCATTAAATCGTGTGTTGTGATTTGTGAGCAAAATTGACGAATAGCCGTATAATGTATTGCAAGTCTAATTCTTCTTGTTTATGTTCATTCCTCCACCCATTATGATCACTGAGCACAGCAAGAAAGTTCTGATGCGCCGAAATTCCTTCAGACGTATCAAGAGACTCGACGTCTTTACGAGGATAACAAGGCCAGTCAGTAAAATGTGACGTTAAGGATGGCATGTAGAGACTAGAGTATCTAGATCCTTAGCAGGCCATATCGTCTTTGCCCAAGGTCATGGTGTTTGAAGAATGAAGAGATAAGTACATGGTCCGAATCGTGGCATGGTGTACTCTACTCTCGAAAGTATTCGACTTCCTTCGTTCAGTTCTCAGAGGTTCAATCCCGAAGCGATTAGAGATCGGGTTCGTACCTCTTTTGCTCGGGACAAACTAAATCCCATCTCGCGCCATCGTAGTGTCTCTATCCTCAACTGGTATTTCAGTACTGATCGGCTCACCTCCCAACCCCGAAACCTCAGTTAGTAAATTTTTGGTTCCATGGTCTGTATTGGAGTGCGGAGAGAGAGAGAGAGAGAGAAAAGACTGAAATATCAGACGTCGCACGTCCAGTACTTCGACGCCAGCGACAGGTCACCAAAAAATCAAAATCGAAAGTGATTGCCGAACCTTTAGGTTTGGCTCCTCTATGAGAATGCTCTGGGGTCAAGTTTTTGAGACTCAGGTTCCCACGCACCATATTCCCGCTACTGACGTAAGGAAGTAGAAGGGTATTTACTAGGCTGAAAAAAAAATCTCTTTGCGTGGAAATTGCACATTGGCGCTGAAAATTCCCTTTCATGGTAACGAATAAGCGCCATAACAATACAAATGCCCCAAAATAGGCGCCGCCGCGCTTCCTATGCGAGGGAAGAGTTGGGGAAGGACGACTGCTCGCCCATTCAGTCCGTCACGTTAGGCTCCCAAGGCAAACTCCATGATGAGAACTGCAATACGAGGAGCCGGCCAAAGGCCGGGGGACGAGTATTGCTGTGGTGAATCTCTCAACCAATGACCATTGACAATATTCAATCAGTTAGTACTACTATAGTCTGGTATAGTCATGATTGTGTCCTATTGCAGTATGTACCACATGAAAACATGTACATTGAAGCCTGGGTCTGAGGCCCCTACTACAGTCTTCCATAGACTTTACAGACTTTAGAGTCGTCTCAGGCCTCAGTGCAGACTGTATGGTACAATTGTCAGTACATCAGTAGCGGGCCGTGCCGCGTAAGGCGGCGACTAAACTTATTTAGGTATAGCCTTTCATAAGCGCTCGAGCTGGGCCTCGTGTATAGGCGCCCGTTTTGGCCCTTTCCCTTCACACACTCCGCGATCTCCTCGACTTGGAATTGCCACCGGAGAATCTACACAATTGCACACCCCTTGCCCTCTCGTTAAATTGATCTTAATTTGCGCGACTTTTTGTCACATACTTTCCTCAACTTGGTCTTGTGTTCAACTCATGATTCGCTCGTGTTAGGACGGTGACCGGCTGAGTTGGAAAATGGTGAGAGGGTGTGAAGATTCGAACTCAAGGTCTGGTGCGTCCCCTGCCTCTCTGCTTGCATTGACATTACACAAGTATACTTACTGAAGATTATATCCTTGTTTAAAACCCTATCAGTCCTGTTAGCCTTCTGCAGTCTTCGTATTACTACCATTCTTATTACCATCCTCACACTATTTGGGAAGATTCAGCACCAAGGCGACGACATTTGTTGGGCCTCATAAGGTATCTATCATCCTCAAGCGCATCTACATGGCGCGAAGTATTTTCCCGATGCCTGTTGGTGACTTTTTGGCATGGGGTCTTCGGATGTCTGTCGTCACCCTCGGACAGTGTTGTTGGTCAGATTGCCGACTTGAGGACCTTTTTAGGTAGGGATTGGGTGGCTTTACCACTACAATTAGCTTTTCAGCAGGTTAAGAATCGGATTGACTTGGTATCCTACGTAAACACTCAACCAGGACTTGAGTTTTCCTCGCATCAGATAAACTAGACCGCTGTTACACGAACGACTCCGTGAGTGCTCCCATCTGTTTGTATCTATGCGCGCAGACACCATTCTCAAAGACACGTGGTATTCATCTATGATCCCTCTGTGATCTGACTGGCTCTTAAAACTTTGTTTATTTCATCTCTGTCTCTCCCTTTGTAAGTCATTCAATCTATACCCGTCTGGATTGTTAAGGCCAGGCGAGTACCTTCCCTTGAGCAACCCAAAGGCACAAATTAAGTGATATATTTTCCCTGGTCACATAAAAGTTAGAACTCGCGCTTCAAGGCTCATTATCACCTCGGCATATTTTGTCAATAATCCCAAGTTGTCATCAAGAGCACCGTGCCTGGAACGATGGTCATAAATGTGTGAACAACTAGATATCAATGCATACCCCGCAAGTGGTATTGATATCATCTTTACTTCTGCTTACTGGTACTTACCGACAGGAACTCCCTTGAAATTGCATGTAATTGCACTCTTCACTACCAATAGCTACAAATGTAGGACCCTGTCTTCATCAATATGTATGCATGTTGGTTGAATTCCGCATCCTCTCGCCCATGGGCCATGGCCCAAGCGCAACTGGCAAATCAGGCCAATCAACAAGACTATACGGTGCGTCTTCTCCCTTCTTCCGATGACATCCGTATAATCAAACAAAGCACAGTCTCCCTGCCTCTAGCGGTCTTGACAGAGGTGCGCTCATGTACCATGAATGTCGAGATTTATATGTACCTCGTTTGCAGACATCAGTAAGAGTCTGTGCTTATCCGGGCTTGAGGAGAACTTCGATCGTGTGGAGTAGTTAGCATTTCCGGCCATGTCAATCACAATACCACAGTTGATTAGCCTCACTAGTCGAATTGAGTAACATATTTTACTGTGCAATACACCGTATTTTGAGTAAATGGTCCAGAAATTTACGGGCGCAGAATTTTAGAATGCTGACGTGACCGGACCTGAACTTCAAAGCTCGCTGCTCGAGGCCTGATACACGGTCTTCCCCGAAGGTTCGGCCCATGCCGCTTGCTGCCATCCCCCCCAGTCATGGATAATCTCAAATACTTTCGATTTTTTGTTCCCACTTTCGATTCCCTTCTCGACCTTTCTCCGTGGCCTTTTTATTTAATGCCATCCAACGGTGCCGCGACGACGTTGTGTCTCTATAGTCGGATAATATACTTTTAACGTCGCCCATCCAATACTTCTCTTCTTGATTTGTATATTCCATTTCCTTTTTGTTTACCTATTTCCGTGCGGACCTACAAGCGTTTAGCAGAGTATTCACTACCTCCGAAGCCTTAACCACGTGCCGCCTATAAAAAGGTTTCTGAGTATCTATAGTCGGTTGAGGGCCATGATTCCCCCCAGTGTCCCCCAGACGTCTCAATGCCCACCGCTCCCACTGTGGTACCATGAAAAAGAGAAAAAACACAACCACATTATGAGTCACCGGCTCGTCAAAAAGTTAACGACACCTTATCCTATTCCGTTACAGGGAATCGACCCCTGGGCTATCGCGCTGCAGTACACGCTTGCGTTCAATTGTATGAGAGGCGATAATGTTAGCCACTACACCATAACGGAAGTATAGTGGGACACAACATACTTGGCTATATAAGTACTTCGGCTGGATATCGGCTCGGCTCTGACACCGGAAAAACCAGTGAGAATGGTTCATACGCCGTGCTTTCGATGAGCTACTTGCTTGGAATCTTCAAAGTCATTCGCCAGGGATATGGTCTTTGTCGGAACCCGCCTCGTGATTCGTGAACGAATGGGTGATCTACCGCGAGCAACGCATGAAAGTGAGCAAAAACAGACACATCGAGAGATTATTCTGTACAACGAGTCAAAAAGAGGAAACATTCGGCACATGGCTCACACGATCACTACCCCCGGGTTATCGAGTCAGCAAGCAATAATTCAAGTTGAGGTTCCAGTAACTCCGACTTCGAGTGGGAGTAACGAGAAGATTGATGGTTTGAGCATATTGAGAGCGTTACCGATTTGCCAAGCACCAAGAAATAGAGCTCGAGTGCTAACTGAATTGTCGTCAAGAAAAAGAAGTCGAACAGCCGGTAGATGTTGATTCTTGACACGTTAGCTGTATCGTTAGTCTCCGGTCTGAGGTACGCACAGCAGATTCCTCCAGGCGTACCAAATATTTCGACTTATTCACAAGGATATCGGGCCGTCGAGAGGGATCAAAGTAGTGCATAGTGAATTTTGGTTCTTGACCAGGCCTTCGTCAGAGGTCATGGTGGTTGACTGAGATCAAAAAGATAGACACAGGCTTTGGGCTCGATACTCGTACGAAAGTATTGCCGTACAATAGGTCTTTAGTTTGAGTCTTATTGGGACTGACCAGCCTCTACTCACTCATAGCGTAGACTAAATAAATGTTTGCAGAATGGCAGAAGCATGACAGGTTGTCCTGTGGCTGTATATACTCCAGATATGCCTCACCCATTTCAACATCCGTTATGGTGTAGTGGCTAACATTATCGCCTCTCATACAGTTGTACACAAGCATGCACTACAGCGCGATAGCCCAGGGTTCGATTCCCTGTAACGGAATGTCGCGACATGACCTATTTTTTCTCTTCTCATCGCGGCAGTTCATGACGTCACTGCCCTTTTTCTCCTTCTTACCGTCACGGTCAGCAACAACGCGCGGCCTCTACGCTCCCTTTTCTCCCCTCAACACCCCCGAGTAAAATGGACCCAAGAATGCTCCAATCACTCTCTGCCGCAGGTGGTAGCGCCAGCACCAGTCAGAAGGAAAAAGGCGACGTACGTTCTCTTTTGCGTCTTGATCAGATAAAAACTGATAACCTCGAAAAAATAGGTTTCTCTCTTACAATTCCTCGATCTCCAACAACTAAACTGTCTCAACGAGACGCCTGATCACTCGTTGAAAGGGATCGTGCAAGGGAAATCGTTGAACACGAATAGTGGCAATTGGTTGCAGAGCGATGCGGATGAGCAGTTGTTGTTGAACGTTACTGTGCGTACCTTGCTATATCTTTTTTTGTCTGAAAAAAAGTTTCTTATTCCGTTTTTTTAAAATATTTATTCATATCTATACTGACCTTCCATCTACCCAGTAGTTCAACCAAACCGTCCGCGTGAAATCTATCATCATCAAATCGACCGATACGGCGAAAGCACCAAAGCTCATCAAGCTCGCGGTAAACCGACCGTCGATAGGTTTTGAAGACGTTCAGGATGCTACAGAGCCTGGTGTTGCCCAAGTTTTCGAGCTCTCAGAGGACGATGTGAAGGAGGGAAAGCCGATCGCGTTGCGGTTTGTAAGGTTTCAGGCGGTGAACAGTTTGCATGTGCGTTCTTGTCTCTTCTATCTCGTTCAGTGTGCACCATTTTGACTCTCGTTATTAGATATTCGTTGCGAACAACCATGGAGATGAGGAAGAGACGGTTATAAATGGGATCGATGTGATTGGGATGCCTGTAGAGTGCGTCCTGCGTCTCCGTTTTTTCACTTGTAGGATGACTGACTACTTTTACCTAGGACGACGAAGGATCTCAGTGGTCTCAAGCAGCAAGAACAGTAGAGAGCGACGAGAAGATAGATTACTAGTGCTCCGTGTACCATCAGACCAACGGCCAAATATCCAAATAATCTTGTTCAATTCCGTGCATTCATGCTACTACCAGACCTCATAGAAAGGCAACAACTATGTCGTTGTTGTGCCTACACGAGTACTGTTCACGCATCTGTCGGCCTAGTTCGACGTGGCTTTGTTCCCAGTTGCGAGAGATGCCTCTTCGTTCATTTCGCTCAAAGATTCCGTTGGTCTGTGTACGTACTTCTCCTTCATACTCGTGAAGCCTTACGAGGCAGTCAGTGTCGAGAAATCCCAATACCGTCGCCCTGTATCGTTGCTCTCACTGGCCTTGAGGGATTCGCTCATTTTCCTTTTGATTCACTGCTCTCGTCATCCGGGCATGTCTCTATCCAATCCAAGACTGGCAGCTGCAGTGCTACCTACAGCGGGGATTTAAAAAAAGAGGAACAGGAGGTCATATTCCGTTACAGGGAATCGAACCCTGGGCTATCGCGCACGTATTGCCAATGTTTTAACGCTCGTGAATGAGAGGCGATAATGTTAGCCACTACACCATAACGGAGTTGCTTGATAATGACTTTTTTGAGCCATTATCTAGTGGTGCATTCTTGATTGACATTTACAGGCTGGGTAATTCTATCTTTCAGCTGTCCTTCCGCGCCTACACACCGGTAAACGGCTATCCCCGCATCTTTGGCCTTTGAGCACGGTGTTTGTACCGTTAGAACTTAGTGCCCTCCCCCTACTTCATCGGCCAGTTGAATCATCCTTGTTATCAGTCAAGAAGGGCTGCTTCCCTCTCTACTTTAGTAGGATGACGGAGCAAGCGCCCCGATATATTTGTTGTTTTGTGCATTCCTGGCCCTTCGATGAGGTGAACACTCTCGACAAACAGTGCATTCAATCCCGATTCTCCAGCGGGGTACCGCTACGACAAGGATATGAATCCACGACCAGAAGGACGAACTGGATTCCGTCTAGTCTGTTCTTGAGTTGGGAGGATCACTTACCTTTTTTGTGAATCTCGTCATTTGAAATGAATTTCGTCAGCGCTCCAGAGCCTGAGATTTTCGAGAAGTCCGTGCACGACGTGAAATAGGGAATGCCGATCGCATTGCGATTCCAGGGGTGAATACTTTGTTACTTGTCGATTATTGCTCTGTTGAGTTTAGTGGGCCGCATGTTTACTTTTGTCATTGGGTAAATGAAGAGACCTTTTATCCTACATGCTACTAGGGCCTAGATGATAGGCCACGACAACACTGTTGTTGTTAATCGACCAGTGCTGATCACACATTTTATCGTTAGCTCGACATGACTTCGTTCTCGCTCCTCGCTCGGACGGTTGTGGGAAGAGAGTTCCTTGGCTTCAGCCCTATGAAACAGGACGCTTTCACTCGTCACCTGACAAAAACTGATAATCAATTACATACGAAGACGGCGCTGGCTCTGACCCGTCATTGGATGGGCCCTCTCCGTTCGTGGTGAGAGACAAAGCTTACCAATTTATCAATCAAGATCATACACCTCAAGCCCCATAAACCTGCGCCAAAATGTTACTCTACTTCCCAATTCAATTCCGTTACAGGGAATCGAACCCTGGGCTATCGCGCTGCATAACCGACATGGTCCTCATGAGAGGCGATAATGTTAGCCACTACACCATAACGGAGTTATGAGGCTAGTTGTCTGGTCTGGACGTAACGACACCACTGTCGGTTAAGTTTCACCATGTACCGAAAGCCAATACAATGCTCACCACCTTAATTCGTTTTCACGGAAAGGTAAGTCCCTTTTTTCATCACATTACGCACACATAATCAGTCTGATATTTCTCAGAGGCGCAAGAGCGGGAAACGGTTCTATCGTCACTCAAGGAGACGGAGATCGAGAATAACCAATAAATAACGGTAGGTACATTCACCGCTCGCGCTAAGAACCACTTTCTCCTCTTCCAGTGCCACCTGACGTCATTAATTCAAGCTCAAGAATGAGCGACGAGCAGCAAGGCTCTTAACATTACGGGATTCCTCATTTTTTCGTGACCTTATCGCCCTCGAAGAATTTCACGTTGATCGTGTCGAGAAAGGAAACCATACAAGAGACGTCACGAGTCTCTTTACAAAATAGATACATTACCTTGGGTGATTATTCTACCACCTCTACTTTAGGATGGTAATCGGTCTCGTAACACTACTTGGTGACGGAGGAAGACTCTTGTAGAAAAGTTTTGACTGAAAGTCCACAATACACTTCCTCTTGTCTACTGCTAGTTCATTAACCACTAGGAACAGCTCAGTCCGGCTCACATCACAATATTCAATGTTATTGACCAGTAATAATTGGCTCGGATCCGGACCCCGGCGCAACTACCAGTGGCCCAAACTGAGGAACGTACTTGTGGCAAACGATGTTCCTCCCTGTAGCGAGCTGTTTATTGAATCTATGGGAATGCATATTGGGCCTTTAGTCTATCAGTGATTTCAAGCTGAGTTTCTGTGACTCGGGAGTGCAGGTTTCACTTCAAATTGGCTATAAGAAGATGATCAAGAGGTGCGGCGACGACGTTGAGAACAATTTCTAGTATTCAGTCGATCAGAGGCTCGGAAGAACTCAAGAACATTATGCGGCGATGAAGTTCAAAGGGTGGTATGATTGGGTCAGGACGCAGATTTATGGTCGGCCCACTAATGACCCGAAATTTTTTGTTCATGTTGTTCAAACCCTTACTCGTGATCGGGCTGACCTGCTATCTCGGAGGATAGACACCAAGCATGCACATTATCCCTGGAAGAGCTTCCGTGAATCTCCCATGGGCCCTACCGTTTACTGAAATTAAGATAACCTTCTGCCTCGCACCCACATGGACCCCCTTAATCTGGCTCCCATTGAGCTTCTATCCTCAACTGCACTCATCTGAAACCCCAAATCTTGTTGTCAAATGACTCTAGGGGGCTGACACTTGCCTACTTTCCGCCAACACGTGATGCCCAAAACGAGTAATTCGCGTGTCTTATTTGGCCCTTGGTTATGCCGCCCAAACCGGCATTTGCCTGCTGGTTCGCCGCCCTTGTGTGCTTGGTCTCGAAGTCGAACCAGCGGCAAGTCATTGTTTCCTTTCACAAGTATATACACGTCTAAATGATTGATAGAAGTGTCAATTTACAGGGAGTTTTCGACGTTATTGAGGTCTCTGAGTATGTGGTGAAGGATAATATGTAGGTGGTTGGTATGGGTAGGGATATTGGTATCCTGGGGGGTAGTATATGGCTGTAGGCATTGAGTATGTACTGTTGAAATGTGACGTGGATTGTTGGTGCACTGCAGGAGAAGATTGAGGTGCCACCTGCACTGACTGTGAGGTGCGGTATTTCTCCTGAATGCGCCTGATGGTATCCTCATTTGCACGAGCCATCCCAACACCGAAGCGCTCACAGAGCTGTCGGAGCTCATTTCTGTTCAGCCGTTGAAGCACTTGTATATCTGATACATCAACTATTGCCGCATCAAAAGGGAGGGAAGGTAGTTGGGAGGAGGTCAGGGTTTTTGACTTCTGGGTAGGTGGTGGCACGCGAACAGCCGGATATGAATCGCCGTGTGTCAAGTCAGGTGTAGAATAGCTATAAAAAAGAAATGAGTCAGTGAACAAAACCTAAAAGATAGATGGCTACATACCTTGGAGACAGAGGAACTCGTGCATCAGGCTTAGCCAGCTTTCCAGACTTCTCCCCGGCACCATAGTTACGATCATGTCCTTCCCCGAGCTTTCGTTTTTTACTCTTCACGGCACAGCCCATGATCTGTGCTGTCTCCGTCCAAGTGTGTTGGTTTGGAGCAACATGTTGACGGCGCGGTAATAGAAGAGTTTCCGTGGGAAGAGAATTGAGTAGCTCGTCTATGGCGACAGAAAAGGTACGGATAGACTTTGAAATGTGATCTGAGTGAGGGAGAGGGTCATGGAGGCGGATGGAAAGACTATCAAGTTTGTGACGAAGGTCATCAAGGATGTCTGCGTCTGTGACAACAACATGAACTGATGCCGTGAAATCATCGAAGTCAGAACTTGACTCTAAATCAGTGTTGTCATCATCACAGGGGCTATTGGTGATTGAGAAGTTGGATGGGGAGATTGTCGCAGTCGGGAAATGAGTGTGAACGGCATAGAGATGCTTACAAAACCGAATGAGGGAGAAAGCACAGCAGGTGCAATCGCAAGCCTCAGTATCAACACGGTATGTAATCTCGCGGTTGGATTGGGAGATGATCGTAAAGATGGCAGAGTCCTCGAGGTCCTGAGTGATATCAGTAAGGGGAATTTGGGCGCCCAATTCCCTGACTCGAGCCCGTTGCTGTTCCTCCAGATTTAGACCTTCAAAACCACTATCTTGGCGGTGATGTCGGTGCATAAAGTGCGGGATAGCTACTTTTACCAAGGTGTAGATAAGGTGGTCTAATCGCCGGTTACGCTTCCCCTCAAGGAAGGTTCCTTTCAGAATATGATGCCATCTGAACGGGGCAAAATGAAGAAGTCAATAACTGTCAATTCCGGGGTAATCAGATTCTTCACGCACGCTTCCACAAGCATATTTGTGTCGCCAAGCTCGAAAATAGAGCGTTCCTGTCGATATACTGCAGACCAGAGCTCTTGCTCATTCATCCAATGGTCGGTAAGATATTGAATTACACTTGGAGGAGAGATAGACTGAATTTTCCGCCAGTATTCAGTAAACCCAACTGGATCAGTGATTCTGATCCACCGTTTCAGCTGTTCCCACAGTTCTGGATAACGATCTATATTGAAATGCTGCTGCCAAGCATGCAAAACATGCCACCAGCAGAGAAGGATCCTTGAATCGGGATAGCAGCGTCGCAAAGCATTCAGTTGAGCTCGGTCTTTATCCGACATAAATATATTGGGCTTTACGCATGGATTTTCCCGCTTTATGGTTGCAAGGAAATGATCAATTGTGACCTCCGTTGCATTAGAGGAGATCATGAATGCAGAAGGCATCCCTATGGAAACATACTGTAACTGAGTGCATGGTTCATTTTGATGTGAAGTTACGCACCGTGGCCCCACTTGTCTCTGGTAACCAACGTAAATAAGCTCATATTCTCGTAGTGTGTTGTGTTATGCGTCGCGTCTATTCCTGCAAACCGGTTTCCAAAGTTACTCCAGCACATCTTCTGATACTTGGTTTGTATTATTAGTGCAAAGGTCCCGGGGTCAATATACGAGTCTGAAGGCCCCGCCTCATTAGCACGCTTGAGGTGGACAAAGTGGCCTTGCTCCCGAAGCCTCTCTACCCATAGTAGAACCGATGGACCATCCTGCGATGCAAGCCGGATGATCTCCTCTTCTATGGCTTTCTGGATACGGCGGACATCAGCCCGAGTTGCAAAGTGACGTCGCTTGCCCTGACTTGAGTTGAGATTTTCCCAGTTCTCTTCATTGTAGATCTTCTCATGTAGATTCTCCAGCTAACACAAAACTCAGATCAGGATAGACTTCAAATCGGGTAGTTGAAAGCCACGCACCACTTTCTGCGGATCCAGGCCGAGACGTAGTAATCGCTCAATCTCGGCTCTATCATCTTCCCGGAGACGTGTGAATTTCATGTTGACATTTCCGATTGAATGGTCGTGATCTCCCTTGTAACACCCGAGAACTTTCTGTGTGTCGCGATAGGTTTTGACGAGCAGGCGACACTGACAATTGGTTCTCTTGCTTTCGAGCTTGCGGTTCCACTTCTTCTTCTTGGTGTATGCCTTTCTCCCTCCAGTGCCACCCCTAGCACATACATATCTTCTCGTCTCAGCCCAGGGGGCATCATCACTACCCCTGGCCTCATGTGTCTGCCGCAATTCTATACACTTCTCCTCTTGCTCCTGCTTCAACCACCTCTTGAAGGCCTCGAAGTTTTCCCACTCGAGCTTATACTCCCCCTCGCGGTCGAACTGAAAGCTCCCGGGCACTATATTTGGACCATAATTCGGAATTCTCGTGATTGGCGTTGAGGCGGCCTCGGCGTGGGTTCGTGCCGTCATCGAAGTTTGATTGATCTCGGCTGCTGGGCAACGCGTCGAGAGCGCGCCAGAAATGGGTTGACGCGTAGAAAAGGTGAAACACGACATTTTGGAGGAGCTAGATGCGAGAGAGGAGGTGGTTGAAGGTTTCACAATGAGAGAAAACAATATCTGAACCAGTCACGCCCCTCAGCTCGAAGAACCAAACCAGTTTGCTCAGATAATGGTTCATTACTAATTTTGTAGAGGAGCAAACATGACACGCAAATTACTATAATTGGATGTCACGTGTTGGCGGAAAGTCAAATCCTCGGAGACTCGATCAAAAAAAAAAAGCTGTGTCTGGGAAACACCAACACTGGGATATATAAACCCGCGGTCGGTTGTGAGGCTTCTCAGTTTCCCCGCCCTACTTGTTACCCGCTTCCACCACAGAGAAAATGGAAAGACTAATTCGCTGGAAAAAGGGTGCCTTCAGTCTTTTCAGGTCTCGGTCAGAAACCATAATTGCAAACCCGACACTTGGCATAAATGACCTACCAAACGAGCTTCTCCTTGTCGTCTTCTCTTATACGATGCCTCTCAGAGGCACAGTCTTCTATGATCCCTCTGCGAATGGATTGGTCCAGGTGGAATCACAACCCC